GCTCGCATTTGTCCGGGAACACCTGCGTAAAACTGGGCTAAGAGATTCTCACTAAATGGCTTCCAGTTTAGCCCGGACTACAATTTGTGGCTGAGTTTGAACCTAGCTATATTTTCAGCTTATTTCCAACAACTTTTGCTGGTTCACGTAGCGTCTAGAGCTAGTAAAAACGTTGTTGACATTTACATCGCTGTGGTCTATGGCCCATTATTTCTTCTTCCACAGCCTGATTGCTTTAACTTTTCTCTTAAAAAACAAAAAAGAGAATGACTTTGAAGCAGGGTTTTTCTTTTTTCCGTTGCTTAAATTTTCATACAATTTTCAATTGTTGTAGGACATGGGGGATAATAAGCTTGGGCATGGTATTTATGTGGCAACTCTACACGATATGGCTTCTTGTCAATCTTCATGAACCTGTTCCTGGAACCCGCTACAGCAGATTCGTCCGCCTGTCAATTGTTGCCTTCGGTAAGTGTGTGTTAAATAAAAAACCAAGTCAGGAGTCTTTAAAATGTCACCTAACTTTATTGTTGCCCTAAATGTTTAAAGTTTTCTATTTATGAACATATCCCAGGTCAAAAGCTTGGGAAGTTGCTTGCAATCTTCCCTGTAATGTACCTATCAGGAGGCACTTGCGTCTTGCTTATTATCACAGGTGGAGGTACCATAGAATTGTTCTTCAAGATCATCTGCGAGGAAGGGGCCGCGTGTCAATCCAAGTCACTCACTGGCACCGAGTTGTTCCTCCTGTTTACTTGCATAGCTCTTATCATTGGTCAGTTGCCCAATTTAAATTCGATAGCCAGAGTCTCCCTAGCTGGTGCCATAGCAGCGATTGGGTGCTTTACTATGATATGGGCTCTATCTGTCAGCAAGGGTAGACCTGACGGTGTTTCTTACAGCACACCACAGGCCGCAAAAAGTGGTATGACTGGATTTGGTAACATCCTGAATGCCATTGGCATCATTATGCTTTCATTCAGAGGTCACAATCTTATTCTTGAGATTCAGGTGAATAGTCTTTACCAGTAAAAACTTAATCCTGTTCATTGAAAAACTCTTAACACGCAAACTCGATTGAACCAATAAAAAGATCTTCCCATGTGAGCAACAATAATAATGGGGTATTGGTTTATGGTTCAAAATGTAATACTGAAGGTCAACTAAGTTTGGTCAACTAAATTTTATCAATTCCTCGCACATGAGCATTTGACTCATTAGTTAATACATGATGTAGGGTTTGAATCCTCCTTCTCTCAATTAAAAAAAAAAAATCTTATCAGTTCCCCCAACTCAATGGGGTGAAGTCTTGACTACCAATATGGAACTAATTCTGTTGTTGATGCAGGGGACACTGCCTTCTAGTTCAAAGCATCCATGTCGTAAATCTATGTGGAGAGGAGTAATGGTGTCATACATAATAATAGCAATGTGTTTGTTTCCACTTGCCATTGTTGGATTTTGGGCTTATGGAAACAAGGTAAGCATGTACTCTCCATTTAACTTTCCTGTTACCTGTCACACGAGAATGTACTTATGGCATAGCCATCAATATGCATAACATAATCCATCTCATTTTCGTTGATACAAATGCTATTGGCAGTACTTAATTTGTTAATATATTAAAAGTTTCCTTTCATTTCTTGCAGATACCTGCAAATGGAGGGATTCTAACTGCTTTTGCGCATTTTCACGGAGAAGACACTTCAAAGTTTGTGATAGGCCTAATCTACCTATGGCTAATTATAAGTTGCTTAAGTTCATACCAAATCTATGCCATGCCTGCTTTCGACAACTTAGAGTTTATTTACGCCAGCAGTAAAAACAGGCGATGTCCAGGGTGGGTTCGAGTGGGATTACGCCTTTTCTTTGGAGGGCTGACATTCTTTATAGCAGTGGCTTTTCCCTTCTTGGGAAGCTTGGCACCTCTACTCGGAGGAATGGCACCAGTACCTCTGACCTTTGCATATCCATGTTTTATGTGGATTTCGATCAAAAGACCCCGGAGAAATGGTGCCATGTGGAGTCTGAACTTGGGGCTTGGTTGCTTAGGCATTGTGCTAAGCGTTTTGCTAGTAGTTGCTGCTGTATGGAACTTAGTTGACAAAGGCCTGCATGCCAACTTCTTCAGACCTTGATGACAGATGCAGAAAACAATAAAAGGCACTGCTCAAGACAAGAAAGATCGAGTCATGTGTATCTATTAACTTAAACAGGGCCTAATCACTTTTCTTTTTGGACAATTGATCATTTTTTTTTTGTTATACATACCAAGAACTGAAACTGAAGAAACTAGTTGTTTCCTGATAATTTACATCATTTGTAGTATCAATCGGTTTAGTTTCAATATGATTCACATTTTACTCAAACTTAATAATACTGTATAAATTCGAAGAATATAGTAGGATCTGAACATACCCCAGATATGAAAATATGATCATGAATCAAGAAATTAAGACAACTAATTGCTCTGTCTTTTATCTTCTAGAATCAAAAAGAATGAAAAGGAAATGTCCATGGTGATGAACCTGACACTTTGCGCGGGGGCCAAACCAGTAAAAAGTGATCATCAGAGTGTGACACCCACTAAAAACAGCAGGTGGACAAGATGAATCTGAAGGACAAACGTCACAAAATAATTTCAAACAGAAAAGAATCAGCGACTCCCCTCCCTTCACTTACACAGCCTTTCTTGAAGTACTTTTATTCCAGAGTTTTATCCCTTCAATAATGCCAAAGGAGCTACAGGTAATCACCACCATGAACATCAAAGTTTAGTCCAGAATGCGCACTTGGGCAATCCAGATTTCCATATCCAGTGCTTGAAATGTCATGCTGACACATGAACCACCATGTATCTCTGATGCAAAAAGTAGTGTTCATTAATTTCTTCATGTCCACTTTTTTTTTATTATGTAATGAAAGTCATTGTCCCAAAAGACTAGAATAATTCCTCAGTATCCGGCTCATAATCCAACATATGTGAGAACAAATGGAGACATGGACAGCAGAGGTAGCTGACCTAAATATCTGAAATTATCAGGCTCCAAAAATCATAATCATGGAAGGCTATTAAGTACTATGATTCTTGTTCATGAGAAACAGGCAAATAACTGACAGGAAAAGCCCGAAACTGATATTGATAAAAGCTTCCCAGTTCCTTGAATTGCCATCATCTTCATAATCACCACACTCAAAAGCAAAAAGAAAAAGGGGAAAAGGACCCGAGCCTAATCCCTGTTTAGTTCTCTTCGGCTCTTTGTTAGATTTCTATGTAGAAATCATTTCACTAGTAATTTGAGATGCAATATGAACTGAGATAATTTTTTTAACTAAAAGTGATACTACCATTTCAAATACATGCATTTTGGAGAATTCCAATTGCATGCGCCGGTAGGGCTATAGTGGCCAAATAGCTTATTGCAAGGCAAAGAATTAGGTTTGCAATTTGACAAACAAGGCATCATTGTAGTAGTGCAATCCCACCTTCATTTGTAAGCCAGCTAATGGCTTCTTTTGACCTTTGACAAAGCCTAAACCTATACTTTCTGACATGGGGTTTTGGTGGATGTCAAGCAACATTTCTGATAGAGTGAGATTGTAGTTATTTTAAGATGCAAAATGATTAGGATGCCTATTCTTTTGCTCATTGTGTTATAATCTTGATTAGACAAAAGGCAAAAGTAGAAAAATTTGCATAATAACAAGGTTGGAACTTAGAACTAACAACCTGTTCATGAACCATTAAAATAGCAGGCCAATGACTGACATTGACTGTTGTTAAAGATCAAGAGCTTGCAAATTTTCACGTTGATGATTATGTCTGGAGAATTTTCACTGCCATTCAATTTGCTTAACCCTATCCCATTTGGATTGCTCCCACCAATACGCCCCGGCCAAATGTTTACCCTTTTTCTGCCTTTATTTCACAATATTTCACTCTCATGTCGACAGGTAAAATATCTTTAAAAAATATCAAAATTTTAGCGTTGTTATCTTATCAGCATAATTTTTTTCATAGAGAAGTAGTGATCCCACTACAAAGTGGTCTTAAATTGAACTCAATTTAAATTCAATTCATGTCAAGCACTTTTAGAGGAGAGACAAATAAGGTGGTGGACGTATCGCGAAATTAAGTGAGAGAAAATATCATATCAAATTTTTTAAAATGATAAAAAGATTTTAAAATACTTACGACAGGTTGCTTCCAATTTTTTTGAGTAGTAATGACTAATCTAGTAGGTTAAAAAATAATGAATATAATAAATAAGTAAACCAAGATTTAAGTTGGGATTTCAAATTAAAACTTTGATAGAAATGGACTGACAAAATATTCCAGAATCATTCATTCATGCCAATCATGGATTCGGAGGTTGATGGCTGCATCTTGCCTTCTGGATGGTTCGAGTTCAATTCGGTGGGCTTATTAGAAATAATTTGGGCTTCTATTTGGGCCTAATAGAGAACTTTGAATCCTTTATGGGCCCCTGACCCAAAAAGCAGGGAACCCTTATTGGTCTGTTTGGCCCATAGGGACCTATGTACGTGGCAAAAAAACGACTTAACCCTGGTACAGGTTGAAATAGTTGAGAGACAAAACCTGGCACAGTAGTTAGTACTAAAAAGAGACTGAAGAACGTGACACCCTGCAAACTCCCACAAGCCCTCCTTGACTATCATTGTACTTTGAATATTTAAGTTCCATTTTCCGAGTCAATTGTCATCGTACTACCATCAGTTTACACAGCATCCTAGGCTCATATGTTTTGTCCCTGAATTAAGTAGAGCTATTAATTTCAGTAACAAGAAGATGAGTCCTTTTTTAGCCTACTAATCCAGCCCTGATCTCAAAGCCCGACCACATCAGAACACACGCGGCATCTCTTGATTGGTGTGGACCGTCCACACCGACCATCTTGGTTGTCCTCCTCCAAGGGCCAACAAACGACCAAGTCCATGTCATTTGCAAGCCATGTTACCCACAGCTGAGTTTGGATTTTCCTTGGTTTTTCACCTATAAATACCAACACACTCTCTCAGGGTGAAACCATAATTTGACATTCAAACGTCACAGATTTAGCACTTTAGTCTTATTACTGATATTTGTTCTGCTGATTCCCAACAATATGGAGGGTCACCATGCTGAGGGAGATCACAACAAGACAGTGGAAACAACAGATCGTGGTATGTTCGATTTCTTGAAGAAGAAAGATGAGGATGTGGCCATGGCAGATGCCCACAAGCCAGACAATGCGAAGGATGAGGAGAAGGCAAAGGAAAAACTCCACCGTGCTGATAGCAACTCTAGCTTAGTAAGCCTTCTGTCCAACTCACTAAACTAAAGCCAGCTATATGTCACTGCGCCATATTTTTTTCAGCATTTCGGCAAGGATCTTTATTCAAGTTGTTTATGAACTTTTCCTTTCTTTTTGCAGTCTAGTGATGAAGAAGAAGGGGAAGATGGTGAGAAGAAAGAGAATAAGAGAGGATTGAAGGACAAGATCAAAGAAAAGATATCTGGCGACAAAGAGGCAATGGAGCATAAAGACACATCAATCCCAACTGAGAATCCAGAGGAGAAAGGCTTTCTAGATAAGATAAAAGAGAAACTTCCTGGTCAGAACAAGAAACCAGACGATAATGCCTCGGATGGGCATCCTGCTGAAGGTGAGCCAAAGGAGAAAGGAATCTTGGAGAAGATCAAGGAAAAGATTCCCGGGTACCATGGACACAAGACTGAAGAGGACAAGGGCAAGGAAAATTGAAGTTAAAACTAGCCAATAAAACTGTACCTTGGATGTTGTCTTTGTGCTTGCATTGTGTTTACGAGCTCCCTACAAGTGTTTCTTGTGCTTTGGGAGTCTTTGTTTCGTATTCTTGTGTTGCATCAGTCATTTGATATTTCCTTCCTAATGTCTAGTAATGTAATAGTAGTTGTCTTCGAAGCCTTCACTTGGTGAAGGGTTATCTAACATTTCAAAGCTCAAAATTCCATGTGAGAAAGATAGTTTGCTACAGGATAGGCTTCACTTACTTACCTATTAAACTAACAAAAGGCTGCAAATAAAGACAAGCTAACTTTTTATTAACTTAGCAGCAAATAGCAAAAAGACATAACAGGCAACGGACATCTCTCATCAATCGACACATTCGGAACAAGTAGCAGATAAAGGCTAAGCAAAAACAGCTTAATGTTTATCAACCATATACAGAAGAACATCTAACTGATCACTACAAGAAACATCAAATAAACCACCTCTGTAAACAATAAACTTCCAAAGAAAGAGGAGCCTATGCAAAGTTAACAATTGAACAAAATTCATCTTGGTTTCTTCCAGAAATAGAGACAAAACAAAAATTTACATTGCAAAAGGAGAAGATTCTATATACTCAGAGTTCCACCATCTACCTCAAGTCTTAGTGCATCAAGGAGCATTAATTCAAATTTTCAGCTCCTGGAAATCTTGGGAAATGAAGATTCCAAAAGGCGAAAAAGTGATAACTCAGGTTGGCAATATCAGATGCCCTATAATATGATTTTACCTGAAAATAAGAGTGCAGCATTCACTGATAATCACATGAATCTGTCAAATTAAGGGGCTTCCCAAGTTTGTTTCCTCTAAGAGTGACAGAGCACCTGAATCTCCCATAAAACTTGGTCTTTACCAGTGTGCCCAAAATGTAGGCCCTAGACCTCATCACAAATGTCAGGTTCAGGGGCACTGCTATGCCGTCCAAGTGCTCTCTAGAGTTCACAAGAGCTGGTATCCCACCATACAGTGGCACTTGATTCCCTTGCACAATCGTTACCACTTTCCGCTGACTCTTTCTTGATTGAGTAAACTTCTTCATCTGTTCCATACATTAATGACCAACCAATTAGATAAAGAAAGCATCATTAAACTCCTGGTAAAAAATTTCTTTCATGTTATTGGTACATGAATTTTACTCAAAATTGATTATCCAGTTTCCAGTTACGAATCTTTCCCCTCCCTTTAACACCTTTCATCGTCACCTAAAAGCCTTGCTCATGCTAGACACTCGACTTAAAGAAAAGAATCTCATTGCATAAAGCCAACCATCTTTTCTATCAAACCTGACAACGTTAAGACCCCCCAGTTTAAAACTTTGGAACATTCCTTCCTATCCTAAGGGTGAAGTGTGAACTAATGTTTTGTCCCAATGCGTGGAAGACAGCTAAGTTGTGCCCTGCACGAAAGCAAATAGATTAGCTGCAAAGCAAACGGCCATTTCCATAACTAAACAGACGAATAGCATAGGGTTTCTCTCTGTGGGCCCCTATTGAGTTTATGTTCGGTGCAGTTCTGGCAGCCTTTTTAATGGCACTCGAATAAAGACACCCAATAGAATTCAAAGCCCTCTGCTAAAATTTTTCCCACTTCTCCAGGCTGCTAACTGCTAACCCAAAAAGACTTTTGACCCCAAAATTCTTTCCTTGCCCAGTCTAACCAGAACCACCACTTGTTAACTACAACTTACCATAACCCCAAGGATTAGAAAACGGGTTTTACTTTTACCTGTCCAGAGGCAATTTTGAGCTGGAAATGGTGAAGCTCCCAAGGGGTAGAGGTCACATGGACAGCATAGAAAGTAGCTGGGTTTCTGTATGAAATCTTGACCGTTGAATTTAGTGAAAGCATATCTGTTGGCACCCCTGATTGATCATTTCCTGCCTGATAATATACGTTCTCGAACACTATGTGCTGCTCACACACCCACACACAGTTTAGAGAAGAATGTTTATTAGTACTCTACTACTTGATTAAATTAATTAGTACAATTAAAAATACAAAAAGCTTAAATTGCGGGATTGAGCAATCAAAACGGCGCCCATTCCATATTCCTAGCCCCTAGATATCGGTAACATGCCTCATTCCACGATACAAACTCGTGAACTGAGTCACTGAGTTGACTCACAACAAAGAGAGGGTTAAACGTTTCCATCGATGGAAAGGGGATTCCGTTGTGCTTTCAGGAAACGTTCAATGCTAGGTGCCAAGTGCCAACTATGATTTCCTTATCAATAATTATTGATTTACACATTTTAAGTAAAACAACTGTAATCACAAAGTTTACTCAGTTCACAGAAAACGTTCAGTGACCCAAAAGAGCAAAATTAGCTTAATGCTTACGACCACCATTGACCAAACCCGACTCAGGGAACAACTGTGTCAACTCAGTAGAGACCAATTTACAGAAAAAAAGAACTCACCTTGACGATGACTTTAGGCTTGTAACTTCTGCTAGCACCCCACAAGATCAAAGAAAACACCGTAAACAGCACGAAAAACAAGAAAACAAGGCAGAGATAAAGCCTGACGTTGTTAGCCCTGCGTCCATCGCGACCGTCCATTTCATCATCGTCGTCGTCGTCATCACCGCCATGACCAATCTGCACGTGCTTCCAAGCGGAAAGGCTCCTCGGGTTCTTTAGCGAAGCCGAGAACCTGGACGTAGACGACTCCCTGGAATGGTGAATGGGGGAGCAATGGTAATAATGGTGCGTTGGTGAAGCCGTGGGGCTCGACCCATACGACATCTTCTCGACGTCATGGTTCGAAGGGCTCTGAACGTAGTAAACAGGCCTTCTAGGGGACCTCGATGGCCATGACGCATCAATACTCGTCCCTTCCGAATCCGTTTTCGCGTGCATTTTTCTCCTCCCTTTTCTGGCCAACACTTTGAGACAAAGATCAAGAAGATCAAAGGCTATGGTTTTCCAATACAAGCCTTTCGGGGGGTGTTTGTTTATATTAATTACTGGTAAACGAGAAAGGAAAGTGAATCAAGGAAGGAAGTGAGAAGCAATGTTACAGAGGGGGAGGAGTTGCCTGGTTTGCGTCTAATGTGCTTCCGACTTCAAGGTTTTTCGAGTCACAAGACACGGCAATTGTTCCTGTTTTTGTCTATGTTTTTCTTGTGAGTGGAATGCGCACACTGCATGCTGACCTGACTTCGGGATGCTGCTCCTGTGTATCACTCACGCTATTTTTTGGGCCCCACGTAAGATCAAATCCAACGGTCATTAATCATCATTCATCAATTGCAAGGACCGTTACTTCCTCTTCATGTGCTATTTTCTGCTATGATTTCGACCTCTCTAAATTTACATTTTTTTCTTTTCTAATAAGAAAAAAATTGTATCAAATAAATATATTTTTATTATTTTAAAATTATCTCATTAATTATCAATTATTGTAATTAATTTTTTAAAAACTAAGTCTACTCCATTGACATTGTCAAAGTCAATTTTTTTTTTAATCTTAATAGTTGGTAAATGTTTTTATTAAATAGAAGTGTATAAAATTGTTTCAATACTTAATTATATAGTATGAATATTTGAATTTATGAGAAACTGACTCATTTCAATATTTTTTTAATTGGTATTTTATAAATTTTTTATTAAAAATTTTTACATCTGATATGTAAGAGTATATTTAATTCTTACATACATTTTTTCAAATTGGCTTTAGTATTATTTTTATTACGCTAATCTTCATTGGTTGATAGTTGATACCACATAAGCCTAATTTGACATTGCTATTGCTGTTGAAAATAACTCGATTTAAAAAGAACTTTTTAGCCTGATCAAGTTCAACCCTGGAAACTTTAAACCCCTGTTCTTTCTTTCGCCATCGCCGGCCATGGCTTGGCCGACGGCGGCACCACCTTTCTCATATCTCCTTCTGTCTCCCGAGCCCTCCTCCCTATTTCTCTCTCTCTTTCAATTTGATTTAAAAAAACTAAGTTAAACAAATATTGTAGCTACAGTGCAATTTACACTCGATTTTAATAATCGGTATAGATTGATTTTCAATCGAAATAATCCTGATGAGGAAAAGAGAATTACAACACAAAAATTCTATGGGATAAGATTTCATGAACCATCCACACTTGATTGGTTCTTCACAGCGCCATTTCCATCAATCTGTCCCGAGCCATCAACACTTGGTTGGATCTTGACTGCACCATTGCCCTCAATCTGTCCTGCCTCGAACTCCTTGATCAAATCAGGATCAACATTCTCCTCTGGCTCCCAAGTAGCCTCCTCCATATCCGTCCATTTCACGAGATACTCATTCTTGCCGTCGTCACCCATTCGTTTCCCCACAACTCCCTCAGCCACAGCATACTCTAACCCTGCCTCGAAGTCCCTCACCAAATCCTCAGCTACAAACCTTGCTTTAACCCACTCATTGTCACCACCGTCTTTCCACTTTATCAAATACTCCAAGTTTTCACCTTTCCCTCTCTTCTCCAATATCTCCTGCACCTCAGCATACTCATATATTGCCCCCTCTAATATCTTTATCACACTTTCAAGCCCCATTCTTCTTCCGAATTGCGCTGGGTTCCCTTTGGGGGTCACCTTTAGAATCTCCTTAGCTAAAGCTAAGGGTGTCAAACCCCTGTCATCTTCCAGTTCAGGATCGGCCCCGAGATCCACCAACAATTGAGCTACACCAGGTTGGACATACCCAGCTGCCATATGAAGAGCCGTTAACCCACCAGCATTATCACGATGGTCAATATCAGCTCCAGCTTCAGCTAGGATCTTAACACATGGCTCCGAGCCAAGACCTGATACAAAAAGAAGGGCAGTTCTGCCATCTGGGTCTACAGCATCCAAGTCACGCCAATCTTCCTCGGCTGCTAAGAGCTCCGCCAAAACCTTCTCGTCAGCTTTCTTAGCCGCTGTCCACCATGGGGTTTCGTATTCTGCCACCACATCCTTGGCTATGAAATCTTGTGGAACCCAAGAAGGGGCATGACCGTCTTTCCACTCTATCAAGTATTCCATGCCTTTCCCACCTGGGAGAGCTCTGTTGCCGATGATTTTGCTGACTTCACCATACGATTCATCCGCTTCATCCTTAACGTCTGCTTGGAGTGTGTACCCTGTTTCTTGGAAGCTCTTTTCTTGGTCTTGGACAGCGAAGAGAGCAAAACCTCTGTTGGGTTTGACGTGATTTGTTTTCGTAGCAAGGAACTGGAGGGGTTGGGGAGAGATAGAAAGTGGGAGCTTCGGTTTCGGGGAAAGATCGAGACGAGAGAGAGTTTGGTTTACAAAGAGAGTTTCCATGCCTGAGACTATGCCTGGTGCAAGGAAAGTGAGTTTGAAGAGTAGCAAAGCAAAGTGAAGTAGCGTCCGCCTGTTGGGTGTAATCTTGAGAAGGAGAGATTTTGGGATAAGGAACGCCATCCATTTTTTGCTTGTTTTTCGGGGATGGGACAATAACATTGGTGTTGCTTATTGCGTTGTTCAGCTTGGGTTTCGTCCACATAAAATATTTTAAACAATTTCCTTTTGTGGCTGAGGACTAACTAGGCTGAACTCTCCGGGGTCCGACTGCATCAGATGGTGGACCAAGTTTCCCAATCTCCCCAACCCATTTTTATCCAAGTCTAATTGGGTTGCCGAAAGGCTGCAGCAACTGGGTTAAACTATTGGGTCAGGTTGAGATTGGCCTGCTTCGATCTCTCCTTTGGGGCTTCACTCAGGTTCCAGAGAAGGGCATCCCAATTGACAATTTGCTGACTTTAAGTCCTTTTCCCTGTTCATGAATCATGATTCCATAAAAGGTAAAAAGGAAAATCAATTCATAATACTGACATGATAATCTGAGTAAACTTTACTTACAAGTTACAAGTCTTCTTTTACCCCCTTTAGAAATTTGAAATGGAGATTGCTAGTACTGTTTCCCTTCTTTTTCTTTTGGCAAAGTAATGAAATGATGACAAATTGCTTTTGATCTAAATGAGGTGGATTCAATTTTCAGGTTAATCAAGCAGCGGGGTTAGATACAAAATACATTAAACTTCTTTTTCAGTTCCTGTTGATCATCATCCTTTATTTGAGGCTGGAAATTTTGGCTGCAAACTGATATATTTGCCAATATATAAAAAAAAAGAAAAAAAAAAGACTTTCTGACCCGTGTGTGACTCTTCCTCACAGCAACACAGCTCAGCAAATTAGCCAAAATGGACAGAGTCCAACTGGCAGACTCGCCTCTTCAATCACGCCTGAAAGGAGCTAAAAGAAAACCAATCTTATTCAGTGTATTTATTCGTACTTTTCTTTCTTCTTTTCAATCTTGTTGTGGTATAAACAGTTTGACAATGAACACAAATGGGTACTAACCATACATACATTTTTTGGTTTTGCAGTGTGAAAGTGTTGATCTGAACTAGTTAATCAACTTATGGAACCAAAACTAAAATATTAAGGCCCTGTATTTGTCAATTGCTAGCTGCAAATTTAAATACTTGAGAACTACTTGGAAACATCGAGTGGAAATAATTTCTTGAAATTATGCATGATTATCGTTTTCATGTCATTTTTCTCAATATTAACGCGCCCATTAAGTCCTGTTTATAAATTTGAACAATTTTCATATTTTACATTTAATACAAAGATAAGATTGTGACAAAAGTGTTGAGTCAAAGGCTCCATCAAATTTATAACACATATTGACTAAGAGCACAAAGTAAAAAAAAATCCGATTTAATTAATAGATGTGAGATTGCTTTTCTTTTAATCATTGTTCTAATGCTCTCACATATAAATACAACAAACCTATTATTTATAACAGTCTATCACAAAAAGAATAAATAATTTAAAAAAATAACGCTTGTTCTAATACAATATTAAATTTTTAAAACAGACATCTAATTTAAAATCAATTGAGTACAAATAGAGTGGTCTTTATTATATTTATATATTTAAGATACTCTAATTTATGCATAAAATTTCTTTATCACCACCCTGATTTGTTTTATTCTTGTGTTTGCTACTTATTTCATTACTTTGTTATTTCCAACTCTTTTATGGCAAATGATTTACAATGATTTTGTGGGGATATAGAGTCATATAGATACAAATCAAGCCCTAATATAAAAAAAAAAAAATCATCCTTGTATTAAAAAAGCATTGATTTGTTTAGCATGATATGAATGAGGGTATTATATTTGACTTACCAATCAATTCAACCAATATGAAAACTCACTGTCATCATTCTGTCAACAGCCCAAAGAGCCCGCAGTGTAAGCAAAGAATGTCCCAACTCCCATTACATTCTCCGCGTACAGTTATCTCCTTAGCATAACAAGACAAAAATGCTGATCACCTTCCATCACCACCGTCCACATAGTGGGTCCAAACAATATACAGCAATTCCAGCCGTTGGCTTGTTAGGACCCAGACCGGAGTTTTAAAACCCACATGGAAATGCCGCGTGTAGCGTCAGAAATCACGGGCATTTCGTCCCCAGCTCATGCATTTGTGAAATTTTAAGCCCGCCAACGCGGTTTCCTCCTGATTACCTACTCTCGTTTCCACCCTAACAAGGACATTTTCGTCACTATGGTTGACATGTAGCTTACGTATCAAATTCTTATTGGATAGTTTGTGAATGGACAGAGCTTTGGATCTTTGTGGTGGGTCAATCACTGCATTCAATACCCCACTAAGCACACTATATAAGCATGATCACAATCCTCCAACCAACACGAAAGCTTCTCAATTCTTCTCTCATTTTCTCTTCTTCTTCTTTCTCAGATCATCAGTTCTTTTTGGTTGGTTTTATTACTTTGATTCATTCATTCGTTCACTTGCTCTTTGGGGGGTTCCCTCTTTGGTAATGCACTTTAAATAAGTCACGTATCAGTTACTACAGACCACATTGAAGTCTCCTGTTCCGTAAACGCAGTAACCTTTCTTTAGTAAGTTTACCAAAGCCTGTCTGTCTAGCTTCCTTAGACCTTCTATATCTTCAGACCCTGCCCTTAAACCAATATCCCAAATTCTCTTCTTCTCCACCAGGACAAATCACAAAATGTTGCTGATGGTAGAATCCGGCTTTTGGCAAAGATGTGCTGCCTTCTTGGTTCTTGCTGCTGCTGCTGCTGTTGTTCAGGCTGAGGATCCTTACAGGTTCTTCAACTGGAATGTTACTTACGGTGATATTTACCCACTTGGGGTTCGCCAGCAGGTTTGGAAATTAATATTATTTATGCAATCAGTTTTCTTTTCTTTGGGGTTATATAAGGCTCCTGAGATCATCTGAAAAGAGACGTTTTATTTGTTGTTTACAGGGAATTCTCATTAATGGGCAATTTCCAGGGCCTGAACTCTATTCTGTCACCAATGACAATCTTATCATCAATGTCTACAACAACTTGGATGAACCTTTTCTTCTATCATGGTGAGCACCTCCGATCAGTCTAGTTTGCTCCTTTCCTTCTAAAATGGATTTCACATTTCATGAGATATCTTTTCTGAAGATGAACACTTAGGCAACCTACCATGCGTACTAGGCATTGGGCAGCTAACAACTCAGTATCTATAAATTAAGCTGCCTTTGCCTCCTAAAGTTATAATATTATTGCACCACGGACCTCCTATAGTCCTATTAAAAACAACAGTTTTCACAGCAGAGTATATCTGGCTTGTAAGAAATTCCTGGACAATAAACGTGTTTCAATTAATGACTATGCTTCTCTTTCTTATTTGTCATTATAGATTATAGGAGAAGATAATTAAGAATAATTGATGTGTAAATCTTGCGTGCAAGAGACAAATACTTAAAAACTTCTTGAATATCAAATCTAAAGTGCAGCACCATTCCAGCTTTTGATGGTGATTGCCTGTTGCATTTCTAGGTATAAGAACAAAATTTAAACATATAGCATGTGCTGATAATGATCATCCTTGGTCTATTAAAGTTGTGAAAGCGACCATGATCATCCTTCGGACCTAACTTTTGACTTTAATTTGTTTTCCCATCATAAAACGTGATTGGTCAGCTTCTCTTAGACGAGGTTATATACTAATTTGAGAAAAAAATTTTTGTTATGTGCCTAGGAATGGGGTGCAGCAAAGGAGAAACTCGTATGAGGATGGAGTATATGGGACTACATGCCCAATCCCTCCAGGCAAGAACTTCACTTACATTTTACAGGTGAAAGATCAAATCGGGAGCTTTTTCTACTTTCCATCCCTTGCTTTTCATAAGGCTGCTGGCGGCTTTGGAGGCATCAAGATCCTCAGTAGGCCCAGGATTCCTGTCCCTTTCCCGGACCCTGCTGGTGATTTCACAGTTCTTATTGGAGATTGGTTCAAGACTGATCACAGGGTAAATAAACAAGTTACTTATTACGTACGTAGTTATGCTGATGATCAAATCAATTATGTAACTTGACATTCATTATTTCTTTTACTTATTATTGCAGAAACTGAAAGCTAGGTTAGATGGTGGTCATAAGCTTCCTTTCCCTGACGGCATTCTGATAAATGGCCATGGACCTAATGGCGCAATTTTCACGGTTGAACAAGGTAAATTTGGACGGACTTAGACAGTTTTAACTCTTTAATATGCCTCCGGAACATGGTAGTGGTAACAATTGGTATTCTTCTGTGTGCCACAGGCAAAACTTACAGGTTTAGGATATCAAATGCTGGGCTTCAGAACACACTCAATTTCCGCATTCAAGGTCACTTAATGAAGCTGGCCGAGGTAGAGGGAACCCACACCGTGCAGACCATCTACGAATCGCTTGATGTCCACGTGGGTCAGTCCTACTCTGTGCTTGTTACAATGGACCAAACTGCCAAGGATTTCTACATTGTGGCCTCAACCCGTTTCACTGACAAGATCCTTACCAGCACTGCAACTCTTCACTACAGTAACTCCAACAAGGCAGTGTCAGGTCCTATTCCTGGTGGACCTACTGACCAAATAGATTGGTCTCTTAACCAGGCTCGATCCATAAGGTAAAAACTTGATCCAGTTACTCCATTCAAATCCACTTGGAGCTCATATTTGTCCAATCAAACTCATGTAAGTATTTCATTTCGGTGCATTTCAGGACTAACCTGACAGCAAGTGGACCAAGGCCAAATCCACAGGGATCATACCACTACGGTCTCATTAACATAACCAGAACGATCAAGCTAGTGAGCTCAGCTGCCCAAGTTAATGGGAAGCAAAGATACGCAGTTAACAGCGTGTCTTTTGTCCCAGCTGATACACCCCTCAAACTAGCTGACTACTTCAAGATTGATGGTGTTTTTCGAGTTGGAAGCATCTCAGACAGTCCAACCGGTAAAAACATGTACCTTGACACATCGGTCATGGGTGCTGATTTTAGAGGCTTCGTGGAAATTGTGTTTGAGAACCATGAGAGCATAGTCCAGAGCTGGCATATTAATGGATACGCCTTCTGGGTTGTCGGGTAAGAACTTGCAGAAATAACCGAATCAAAAGTTTGATGCCAATCCCAGAATTTTCCTGAACTTACACTACTTCTCTATGGCAGCATGGATGGAGGATTGTGGACTCCAGATAGTCGTAAACAGTACAACTTAAGGGATGCAGTTTCACGCAGTACCACACAGGTTTGTAAAGCCAGTCGTTCTTTTTCTCCAATATAAAGACGCACTCTGTTCTAACATAGAAGGAAACTAAAACTATGGTTGGTGTTGCAGGTATATCCTGGATCATGGACTGCTATCTACATTGCTCTTGATAATGTTGGAATGTGGAACGTGAGAACTGAATTTTGGGCACGGCAATATCTCGGACAACAATTTTACTTGCGAGTATACTCACCTGTGGAGTCAGTCAGGGATGAATACCCCATTCCAAAAAATGCCCTGCTCTGTGGCAGAGCCGCAGGAAAAAGCACGAGACCTCTCTGAAACAAATTTGCAGCCAAAGTTTGTTCTGAATTAACCATTACAAGTACAAAAAATGACCCAAAGCTTTTAAGGTCTCAATTCTTTTTCAACAGAATTTGTATTTGGTTTGTAACTACAGAATCGTCAATAAATGTACTAAATTAAGCATTCTTTTTGCTGAGTAAAGATTGTAAGGCTCAATTCCTGTAATAAACAAGCTGTGTAAAGCTTACTCTACTGGGTGACACAAACTTTTAACTCCTTTGATTCCCTAACATGCAAAGATACCCTCATTGTCATGAGAAGAACAGGATAAGCAAACCCTGAAAGGAAGTGGATTATCCAGGACAAAATTTGAAAGCAACCGAAATACGTTTCCTTGTTTTCATCATAACTCCCTAGAAAAAGCCAATAAGGTCAATGATGTGAAGAACAGTTCAAGAAGGGTCAATCCGGCCTTGGAAGTATTACGACGTTCCGCCTAATAGGACGGTACTATGCTCATTGCAGTTTTGAGCACCTTCGGTATTTCCTATAGTTTTCTAGGACCTCTTTGCATATAAAAATGTACCAAAATATCGATTGTCCCGTCGAGAAAGATTAAAAGGGTTCAAAGGAAACAAGGTTTCTTTTCTGGATTTCCCATGGCAAAAGGGTTGGAGGTCTTTGTAGCGTTGTCATTGGTCATAGGAGTTCTTCAATCCGCTAATGCAGAGGTTCCAGCCATCTTCATACTAGGAGATTCCACAGCTGATGTTGGAACCAACAATTACTTGCCTGAAAGTAGTATAAGAGCTGACTTCCCGCACAACGGTGTCGATTTTCCTTTTGCAAGAGCTACTGGCAGATTCAGCAATGGCCTCAATACCGCTGATTTTCTTGGTTAGTGTATGTATAAAATGATGTGATCATTGGCAATGTCATTACGTTAAATTGGCTGTCTTTTCTGATGGTTTCTGTTGTCAGCTAAACAATTTGGTTTCAAGAGAAGCCCACCACCCTATCTTTCTCTAAACGCAACGTCTGCTATTAAGAGACGTAGATTTAGCGGTATAAATTTTTCCTCAGCAGGATCTGGCCTGCTTGATACAACCGGGCAAACAGCGGTAAGGCCTCTTAGTTTTCTCCATAGCGTGAGACAGAGTTGGTTGTTCATCCCTCACATCTATTTCAAGCTTGCTACTGAATTACTTCTCGGTTAACATTGACGAAAGTTGATTTCCATGGACCCAGAAAAAGAATGCTGTCCCAATGGGGGAGTAGGTATACCAATTCTCTACAGTCTACAATGATCTTTTGGCAATTAAAGGTCCATCAGAAACAAAAAATCTTCTCTCGAAGTCTCTGTTCTTCATCTCCATCGGTAGCAATGACATTCTGGGCAATTACCATTCGAGCAATCCCATGCCAAAAGAACAGTTCATACCCAATTTAGGACTCGTATATGAGCAGCACTTAAGGGTGGGAGTTCCATCTTTCTTCTGCTTTGAATCATGATCATCACCATCACATAAGCGAGGCTAAGGTATATAATGATGAAGTATGTCATGCTTGAACTGAAGTCTTGTTTAACATATATGCAGAATCTAATTAGTGTTGGAGCAAGGAAGTTTGGCATAGTAAGTGTTCCACCGGTTGGGTGTTGCCCATCTCAAAGGCTTCTTACAGCTAACTGGGATTGCTTGGAGGAGTTAAACGACCAAGCTAGGGCCTTCTTTTCAACGGTGGACACCCTCATGCGCAACCTCAGTTCTGAGTTCAAGGAGATGAAGTATTCTCTTGGAAATGCGGTTGAGATGGCACTTTATGTTATTGACAACCATCTAAATTTCAGTAAGCTTTCACTCTGAAACTACATTTACATATTAACAAGACGCATGCATATCTACCCAGACTTTGAAAACATCAAGAGGCCGCTTAAAAATTGGCTCCTTAGCATCTATATTCTGAGAGAGAGATCCCATCGTAAATATGATCTTAATGCTCCTCAATTTTCATTCCTCTCAGACTTTACAGATGTCATGTCCGCATGTTGTGGGAACGGCACATTGAATGCAGAATCCTTTTGTACTCCGACGGCCAATCTGTGCTTTAATCGCCATCAATACTTCTTTTGGGATTCGTTCCACCCTACACAGACTGCTTCAAGGTTGGCAGCTTTTAAACTCTACAGCGGGGAATCAAGATTTGTAGCCCCTATTAATTTTTCTCAGCTGCCAGAGGCTTAACTGAACTGCTCTCTGCAGTTTATCTGCTTGAAGCAGAATAAAAAGAGGTTGATCTTATTGTAATACTCCAAGCATTACTGTAATTGTGTTTACCAAGATCAACCTGGTATCTCAAAAATAGGCATAACCAGGATTTTCTAACTTGAATTCATAGATATAAGAACCGGTTATAACAAGCAAAAGATTACAGTGCATAAAGCTGGATGAGAAACTATGTGGAAAGATTAATAAGAATCATAATTGGACAATAAACTAAAGAAACAGATTACGAAAGAATCATGTATTATTACACATATGACGCAATAGGCATTAGCATAACTATGGAAATAGCTCATTCTGACCTATATGTGATATATTTACATGCTGAATGAGGGAGAAGAGATCAAATCTGGTTGGACATTCTTCAATTCTACATGAGCAGATCCACTTCTGTTCTGAAAGAAAGTCCAACAATTTTAACAATTAATCTAGGTATCATACAATGCCAGAGTTCCAACACTTGACAACTCATATAGTCTCCACAAATCTGTTTCAGCTGCAGAACCAAACCCATTTAGGACTTGATCTTTCTCCCTTTGCATCTCTAGCCAGTACTCTGAGTCCTCGAATAACCTTAATATCTGTCCAAATAGATTGATTAGAACAGTTTCTGCACTGCAGTAACAATCTGAATTCAACACATTTACTTGATACCTTGTGCATCCTACTACATGGCTCTCTTCTACTTTTAGGAAGAAAAAAATAAAGTGGCTGCTTTAGATTTTTAGTGGTTGTTCAATCAAATATAGAATGGACATATCGTTCCAGGGTCTTATGCAATTATAGTTTGGTCACTGTTTGTGAGAAAGCAGGCAAAGTAATGGATTATGGTAGACTTCAAAGATGATACGTAATGTCCTAGAAGTGAGTGAGAAGCAGTTTTATGAAATGAAAAAGGAAAAAAAGTTCACCATTTTCATTGTTGGCCTTTGAGAAGATGAATGCATAAGACAGAGGCGTGCTATAAACATCATTACTTCCATCTCTTCTTTCTTGTAATTTCTGCTCAAGGAAGGATCAACTAGACGCTCACATTGGCCAAAGCGGAGTAAAGATCTTGCCTGCATGTCAGTTACGCAGAAATGCTTAAAGCTTTTGAGATACAAAAACGTGATTTCAGGTATAATTTGTCAATACATTACCCAAAGTACTAAGCTTTCATGATTTTTCTGGTTTCTTTGAATAGCATCTTTCCCTGTGATAAGTTCCAGGAGCACAACCCCATAGGAATAAACGTCTATCTTTTCGTCAATCTTTCCACACACTATGTACTCTGGTGCCAAGTATCCAAAAGTCTTAACAATGTCAATTGGCTTTGTGTTTGCTGGAACTTGATAAGATTGATGATGCACTATTGCTGCTCCAAAGTCTGAGAGCTAGAAAGGAAATCCAGAATATCGAATATTAGCATATACATTGGATTTAAGAATTTAATGCTGCCTGTGTTAAGGGCACAAGTTGAAGTTTTCATTGGCCAAATTCTTTGTCTCAAGAAATGGTTAACAAGAGAAGTTACTCCACAGAATTAGTTGAGGCCTTCAAATTCAGCTACAGTCATCTCAAACTAACATTCTCACGGAGTTCCACTTTGATCAATTCCCTACTGAGAAATCGTATGCAGTCTTCATAAACATTGTGTTTTAGGAACAAAAAGATCGGAGGATTCAAATTGAGGGCTCCTAAAAACAAAAATTTGCATTGCTAATGGGTCAGCATCCGTTTAGGAGCTAATTGCTTTGTTTGGTGATTTATTGCAGCTTCTTTACTTTTGCTGCTTTAGTCTTTCTTGGAAAATCTTATCAGCAAAAGGTGCAATAGAGAAGAGAAATTGTATCTTATCAGTAGTTGTTCTGGGCAGACTTGAATGAGATAACATAAGCATTACAGACATTAAATGGTTGGTGAAGAACTTACTTGCGGTTGGCAATTATCAGAAAGAAGTATGTTAGATGGCTTCACACTTCTGTGAATGATGGGTGGGTCACAAAAATGATGAAGGTACTCCAGAGCCTTAGCTACACTGATTGCAACACCCATCCTCTCAGCCCACTTGAGTTGTTTTAAACATTCTTTCAAGCTTCCCTTTAGAAGATTATAAACAATTGCATGCAATTCTATGCTATCACAGTACCCGATTATCTCAACTATGTTCTCATGTTTTACGCTGGACAACATCTCAACTTCTCGGAGAAGATCCTTTGCTGACCAATGTGTGGTTTTGAGGACTTTCACAGCTGCAGCTTTACCATCCTCAAGCTGAGCGCGATACACCATACTATTTCCCCCTTTTCCAATCACCATGCTGGGGCTGAAATTATCTGTGGCGACACTGAGCTCTTCTGATCTGAAACACCTGCAGGATCTCTCTGCTTCTGGGAACGCGATTCTGTGAAACCTCCTCCTTGCATTCACATTTTTATTCAGACTCAGCTGCCCTCCACTATCCATTTGCCATTTCGATGATGATGCAGAAGAAGATGGCATAGTAAATGACTTTTTAAATTGATCCTGCACCGTCTTCTGGAGAATGTACTGTCCTTCACTGTTAATTTGACACATTGATTGGGATGTTGAGGATGATGGTACTGTCAAGGACTTATGTAACAGACGGGAGGTTGTGGATTGATCAACCATAGAGTTTGTCTGGGAAGATGATAAATAAGATTGAAGAGTTACACCTGCAGAACCTTGTTGGGAAGTTCCCTGCCTCCGGACTAGGATTCTACCTGCATCATCCATCACCAGGAGGGTGCAGGTGGGAGGTAAACTTTTCAGACAATTGCTTACAGCTGAACCCTTTGGCCTATAGGAAAACATAACAATAGAACTATTAGACATAAAAATACAAAAAACAGTCTTCTTAGTTATCAGCTTCATTACCCTGAAGGGTTGCATCCAATTGCAAGGATTGTTGCATAATTTTCTCGAACTTGATGAGATAATGCAGAGATATAGAAGTTTCCAGTGCAAATTTTAACAAGGAAATCAACCTGCATTGGTAAACCATGAGTAAACCAGCCAATACATCTCTAATGTCATTCTGATTTCACTAAATTGGTGAAAACAAACGCTTACCCGCTTGGATTTACAAAGATCTTCATGGATGTGAAAATTGTTCGGATCAAAAGCATCATCTCTTTCTTGGACATGCACTGCCAACACATTATCCCCTGACTTGGCAAACGTTCTGAGTAACTGGAGTAGCATTTCTCGACTGCTGTTATCAGATTTGAGGCCAACAATAATAGTTTTGTTCTTCACTGTCCTGCCATTCAGGTATGACATAATTCTGCAATTGATGCTTGCATTTCGAACCATGATCAAGAACTAACAATCTTCAGGCACCATTCCATTTCATACGAAGGGAGTATGTTTGACAAATTTCTAGCACATCTTAAGTTATGAGATTCTGTCCTCTCACTGGAACAGACACTGCTTTAAATCTATTTATTGGCACTGGTGCATACCTGTTGTCCCTGATTGGCTGAGCACTTACTTAAGTTAGGTAAGTAGATACAGCAAGATCTAACATTACCAACGCTGAAGCACCATGGGGCAAATTTTGTTACCCAAGACAACAAATGCTTGGCCACTACTTTCCCGGACAAAGCTAAACCTTCACTTCACAGCTCCCCAAATAGAATTACAGATTGGCAGATGCCTAAGGTCTTATGAATTCCCCGGTAGCGGAACAAACTCTCTAACTATGATTCTTTAAACAGAGACCGAAGGGAAACCTATAATTTTGTTGCAAAGTCTATATTCCCATGTTAATACATTGTGGGATCCATCCCACAAAGTAGTTAGCTATTCATTGTTTTGGATTGTATGCCTTTTAATTGCCCAAAAGAATGTGTACAGCTTGTTTTCCTTTTCAATGGTAACCTAATTCTGACAGTTTTATGGCGCAAAATCTTAATGGTCTCAACTCCTCAAAGGGGCAAGAACAAACAAAGGTTGTGTACAGGCTTACTATTGATCATCAGGATAATTTGCTCAAGGCTTTTAAACTGTATTTAGGTAACAGATTTGTTATCATCGAGGACCAAGACATCCATTTACAATGTGGATGACAGTGACGGTAAACAAGCCAAGTGTTATGAGCTAACAGCAGTACTTGCATTTGTGAAGAAGCGTTTGGATACATTTCAAGATTGGATCTCAAGTGACAGTCAGGATTAGATTTCAGGATGGTCGGCATCAGTCCATGATATCCTGAAGTTGGTGAAACAAGGGTTGTTGCTGCAACATGTGCCAGATCCACTGAATGGCTGAATGCCATGAATTATCTGGTAAAAGTCATTTATCAGACGGCAGCAAAATCCAATTGCCTCCGGGTGTAAGATGTTCCAAGAAATCTCTCTAACTTTCCTGCTTAGCTCTCACCCTTAAGAGCGGATGAAATGTACCCCCACTCTTCCCTCAGTGCACCTAGTCACACAGCAAGAAATTATACCTTTCAAATAAGGGGTTATGGTATGGTATGGTCATTAAAGGAGACTAGTTAATGCACATTAAGTGATGTTGCTCAACCACCAGTTGATTTGACCCTACTGGAACAATGGTGTGATGGCCTTCATATTCTTCCACCCAGAGAACCAAATGACATTCCAGGTAAAGCATCTCAAATAAGCTCATGCAAGAAAGCTCCACATGATTTATTATGTTCAGCATTTAACCACAAGAACAAACTTACAAGATTTAAATGGATGAAAGAGGATCTAATTGCTCCACTACAAGATAAATATCATTTCATTGTCTTACTGGATCAGCATTTCTAGTTTGCAATTGCAATATTCAAGCATAAATACCTTCAAAACAGCCATTCAATAATTTTCACTAAACTTGGCATCCAAGGATTTACAACATTTGTCCATGGAAAAATTTGAACCCGGAATCACCAAAACCTGATAAGCATTCCAATAATCCAATCACATTGATCAGAGCTACTTGAGAAATATCACTAAGACGCATTGCCTTATCTTCCCACTATATTCCTCAGGCTAGTAGACTTTCACGTAATTAAGCAAATCTACTGACATATTCATGCATTGATACTTTGGAATTTGGATAGCAGAAGAGGACTCAGAAGCAAGCCTAACATGATTTAAGTCACAAATGCACATCATGTATCGATCTTCGCTAATCCTTGAGAATGCACATCATGTATCGATCTTCGCTAATCCTTGAGAATGCACATCATGTATCGATCTTCGCTAATCCTTGAGAGAAAGGAAAACCTTCCAAGCAAGCTTAATCTGTAATTTACACAATCCATGCCCAGTACTATTTCTCTGCATGTACAACAGTCACTATTGTCCGGTCCTTAAGAAAAAGAAAAAGAAGAGGGCAAAAAACCAGACTTAAGTAACTAAACAAGAGAGGCATGATCTGAACACTAACAATAAGAAGCCGGCATTATCACTTCAATCAAGTTTTATTTAGTTTTAAGCAGACACTGCACATATTGTAGGCCAGCAACTGACACAAGTTTAGAAACCACAAATGCATCTCTGCACCCAATATGTTCCAAGTAAAACTCGCCTGCTATTCTAGCCTGAGGAAAATTCAGCAGTGATCACTCAGCAATCTGCACAAGCAAAATAAAACTTATGTTAGACAACGGAAACACTACAAAATTTTCATTGGTAGTCGACACAACCTAACCAAATCAACCCATCAGATCATTTCAAGTTAGCAGACGGCATGGACACGGCATTGGTTCAAAACTGGCTATATACTTGCCTGGTTCAGAGGATTGTCTGGAGATTTCTTCCATAGTTTCCATATCATGTCCTTGTACTGATTGTGAGTAAGACCCGGCTTCTCCTCTTTCAGCCTGGGAAGCTCAGCTTCCTCAAATGCCTGCATTCATTCATAAAAATAACTCAATAATATAATTAATGCCGTATGGTAAAAAGATTAAGGCACTAAATACACTAACCTATAAATCTAATTAAGAAAGTAATTGAAAATTCAGCAAAGCAGAAAGGCGGCCCGTGTAACGTACCTTAAAGGAAGCCTTAAGGCGCCTCTCAGGGTGGCGATCCGCGGGAAGATTATCCGCCACAGACATTTGCGCAATCGCCTCCTCCACACTCCTTGCTTCAATCAAGGAATCATCCCTATTCGTGTTTGTCACTAACACCATCCTCTCATATTCTTCTTCCGCCGCGGTCCTAGTCTGCCTCTTCTTCGCCTCCTCCGCTTTCTTCGCCGTCTCCGCTTGCTCATCCTCTCTCCTCTTCCTCAGGTCCGCCTCCGTCACCTTCGGCACCGGAATCGACACGCGGTTCGCCTTCTTATCCGGTTTCTTCATCGCTTTCTCGATCTCCTTCTCCTCCATCTCGGCTTGACGACGCGCCTCCGCACGTCGAGTCGCCGCTTCGGCTCGTTTCTCCGCGTCCTCCTCGCGTTTCTTGGTTGCCTTAGATTTGGGACCCTCGGCTTCGCGCCAGTACTGCTCCTCTTTCTCCCTAGATTCCCGCTCTTTACGCTCAGCTTCGGTAGCGCTCTTGCGTGCACGCGCCGCCTCGGCTTTGCTGTTTAACCCCATCTTCTTCGGCATCTCGTCGTCGATTTAGGGGTGACTTAGGTTTTCGGTTTGCTCTATCCCTATTTGTTTTTTAATATTTTCATAAATTAATTAATCCAAACAAAAATTTGAGGAGTGAGAATATTCCAGAAGACTTCCTGTTTGCCTTGCTGATTAGAACCGTAGAAGCTTTAACCGATTATCACAAAAGCGCGGTTATTGATTTATTTATTCCCTGCCTTAATATACCGTTGGGCGTCCGCAATGCGTTCTTTTGTATCACTATGGACCAAAGGCCCTGTTCTCTTAAGCTGAATCCAACGAGTCAATGATTTGTTTGGGCCCGTAATTCCCCTTCCTTAGCCCACTACTCTCAGCCTTTGGGCCTTGTGTGGTTTAGTTCTTTGCAATTTTTGTATTTTTTATTATAATATTTATAATAATCACAAAGTACCTCATAACTATAAAAAGATAAACTTTTTTTAAAAAATCAGAATAAATAATTTTAAAATTATGAATATAATTTTTAGGGTTCTCTTTTTAAAATTTATTTTTTATCGAGATTGTAATATTCAGTTTATTGATAAATTATAGAATTTATACATTAACAGAATTTCAAATATAAACTTAAAATGGGTTTATATTTAATATACTATCAAACTAAAATATTTATAAACTATCAGTTAACCACGAAATGTCATCTTGTGAGTGTACAAAAGTAATTTTTAAAATTATGACTATTTGTTTGTTAGAATTTTTTATATTTAAAATTATTTATTAACGATATGATAATATTTAATTTATTAATAATATATAAATCCTACATATTGAGGGAGAAAATTTTGGAATTGGTTTCAACTTTCAACCATACCAAACTAGAATGAAAGCTTGAAAAAGTGACCAAAGCTAATAAAAATCCATAAATGGTAGTTCAAACCATTCATATTCAAGCTACCTAACTAAATTAGTAAAAAGAACAAATTAACTGTCTTAATAAATATAGCACTCCTCTCCCCTTTTTTGCCATTAAGCCTTTCCTCACTTTTGCCCCCACCCCACCACCAGCCTCTTGTTTCTTATTCTATCATCCATTATTTGCTCATTATTCCTTCTCTTACATGGTTTTGATTTGAAAAAGGAAAGTTTTCCACAGACATGTTCCAACAGCTAGTTTATAGCTTTAGAAACTTAAATAACTAATACACAAAAGTTGTAAAAAAATGTAATAGCAAAATGAATTAATTTCTACTACTTCTTAAAGGTGAGTAAAATTTGACTTAATTAAACATTTAATTTGATTCGAATACGATTTGAATAAAACGGTTTAGTTTAATTGATTTATTAGGTATATTGGTCCAAAAAATTTAATCCAATTAGTTTATTTAGTTGATTTTTTGTTTTAAATTTTTAAATCAAATCGACCCAAGGACCAAAATAATATTATATATATTATATAATATATTATTTTTAAATTTATATAAAATATATAATTTCAATACTAATTTTTATTTTATATTTTGTAATTATAGATGAAAAATATAAATTTTAATATTATAATTTGTAAAAAAAATGATAAAATTTTAATGTTTTTACTCAAAATCAAACCAATCAAACCAATACTATATTTTGTCAGTTCAATTTTCCTTTATATTGGTTCAATATTGATCGATTTTTGTAAAAATATTTGATTCATTTGGTTTTAAGGTTTGGTAGATTGAACTAATCAAACTATTTAATTGCTCACCTTTGTTGCTCTTACTTTGTTAGCATATTCATGGAACATAATATTTGCAAAAACTCTTAAATTATTTAAAAAATATAAATAAATTTTTATTTTTTATTATGTTCAACAAAGTTTTAATATTTTTATTTTATATCAAGTAAACTTTTATAATTGACGGTTGATTAATTATCATTGATCAAACATTATTTATCATTTTATACTTATGTGACAAAAATGACTATAACTCACTTTGATTATATTCAAAAGTTCACTTTTTACGTAAGTACTATAATATTATATCAATTACTTTTTTTTAATAGTTGCATACATATTGATAAAATTATTAATAAGGCTATTCATTAATCCCAAATTTCATAAACATTTCTAAAATACGTTATAAATTTTTGTGATTTTTATTAATAAATATTTTAACACATGAATAAAATAAATAAATATTTATATTGAGCCTCGTGGCACTGGATATTCCGATATACCGATGGATATTTAATAGTGAAAGAGTAAAGCTCACACTAACAAGTGGGCACGTGTAGTGAATGGTACCACGAGTTGCATCATGCAGGTGCTTAAAGAAAACATATCTGGTTTTATCCCCACACATGTCCTTGGGATTTTACTAACTTATTTAATTACTTCGTAATCAGTTGTATCATTAACTCCACATTCCAATCACAATAACTGATTAATACTTAATTAATTACCCATTAATTAATTAAAGTCTCGCTACGGTCAACCATCAAACGTTAATAAATGATCAACGATCCAAATTCCCTTATCAACTGTTGGTTTTACATGGCAAAGAAACAAACAAAATAAACGGCAACTTATTTACCTTACCACTATTAATTCATGCGTAGTACCCGACCAGCCGGCCTATGATGTTTTATAAGCCTCAGCTCAATCACGTGTATGGAGCTCCATAGCTATCGATGTGGTCCTCACTTAGGGACAATATAATTCCACCATACCTTTTTAATGAACAGCATGCACTTGTGGTCCTATATTGACGGCTATGGTCTCGACTGTCCGATCTGATTTGGACCGCTGGTCAAATTGTTTAACCCCGTCTGCTTGATCCCTACATTTTAATGACGCTAACATGAAAATCTACTTCTATGAAATCGGACAAGTGATAGAGTGACACGTGTTGGAGCAAGCTTTTCCTGGTAGATAACAGCTGCTGATGTATGGAGTGTTTAACGTTCAAAACGTAGTATCGGCTGTAGACGTAAACATATCCGACATCGATTACTTCTCGTTCACACAATGTCAGGCTTTTAGCCGCTAAAGATTCTTTACATTCCTCATATCCCAACCGTCGAATAAAGCAAGGGTCCCACTTTATCGTCAACGGTTGAGATTGAATTATAAACGTCCCGCCCCAAACTTCCAAACCCCATTAATTGCACTTCGCACTGACGAAGATGAATTCTAAAACGCGATTAAGTTTCCAATCAGTCCAACGCCTTAGGGATGCGAGCTCACATTATTTTAAATATAAATGTCCGCTTCCTAACCTTCACTCCCCCCGGCAAAAAACTAACCGCCGTTTGGTCCCTTTCACACGCCATTCCCTCCAAAATCATCACATGGGCCCACACCACCCCGTCCACGGAAGAAAAATTCTCGCCATGGCAGAGAAAATTAAGCCATGTCATCTAAAAACTACACGGTGGCAAGCAGAGGAAAAAGGGAAAAGAGAAAGTAAGGTGGTTCATTGATGAATACGTGTTCATGATGGATTTATTAAACTCACGATAGACTCGATATGAATCAATTATCAATTATGGAACAATTTCTGATCAAATAAAATATGTGCCACGTGGGGAGAATCGTTGCCACATCATCAGTAAATGCCACGGTGGCAGTGGGGGAACATGATAAAGAGGAAGTAGGGAGGGGTCCAGTGGAAAAGGCCCGTGTCGGGTGGTGAGGCCGAGCTCTGACGGAAAGACAAGCACTGGCAAACGCCGTCTCTTTTGCTTTTGCACACAAAAACATCATCAGTACCAGTAACACTATTAAGCACACAATAACAACATTAGAGAGAGAAACCAAAGTAAAAGTTTCAGTACTTATAGAGAGAGAGAGGTGAAGAAAAGAGAAAAAGTTATGAGAGAATGTGAAACGATTTCTTATCTCTTTCACTTTATACCGCTTCTTCTTCTTCTATTTCTTAATTTCCAATCAATCATTTCAGCACACAGCCACCACAGCTAGTGCCAAATTTCTTCTCATTGTAGCAAATGTGCGGCTGAGATTTGTTTGTTTTTTTGTAGCCGTTGGATCTCGTGATGGGGAGTGTATCTTCAGACGATGGCTCTGATCAGCAGAGCGAGCGGTGCGGGAGTTATAGTTTGAGTGCTGACGTCAGCGAGTCCGAGAGTTGCAGTAGCTTTTCGTGTCGGCGGTTCGACGGAGAAGGTTGTTCGAGTTCGATGACTTCATCTCCGAGGTTACTGGCTGCTGGAGGGTTCGGTTTTCAGGTGCCGGTGATGTTGCCGGTCATCGGAGGGAAGGATGTCGTGATTTGGGATGATGAGAAGCCTGAGAAACGGGACAACAACTTGTCCGGTATTCCCGGTTTCTTTGTTCCTTTTTTGGTATTTTTTTTGCCTTAGATATAATTAATTCTTCCAAGACTTTGGTTAATCATGGGCTGACGCGAGATGGGGATCTATGCTTACTACATTTTTGAGTGAAATGATTTTCCTTGTTTCTATTTGTAGCAAAAAAAATGTAATTATGATCTTTCCTGTGCCTTATAATTGCAAAAATGATAAATGTCAAAAATTAAAAAAAAGACAGTATGGAAGAAAAATAAAGATAAAATTGCAGTTTTAACGACTTATTTTATTTCCATTTTTAGTTATCCTTGTATTGATTTTTTTTTTCATTCTTATTTGTCTCTGTTTTAACGAGGAAAGGCAAAAGTGATGTTCTTTTAATTTCCACTGATTTTCTTAATATTTTTCAATGTTATGTAGAAGTTGAGATGATGAAGGAGAGATTTGCCAAGCTTCTTCTAGGAGAAGACATGTCTGGAGGTGGGAAAGGAGTGTGTACTGCGCTTGCCATTTCGAATGCAATCACAAATCTCTCTGGTTAGTGTAGTTTTGTTTATAGTTTCTTGTACTGTTTATTTTTATGTAATTTGTAAATTTTTTTCTTAGCTAAATGGTATTCTTGTTTGTAATGGCAGCGACCGTCTTTGGTGAGCTGTGGAGGTTAGAGCCTTTAGCACCGCAGAAGAAGGCAATGTGGAGGAGAGAAATGGAGTGGCTCTTGTGCGTGAGCGATTCGATTGTTGAACTTGTACCATCGATACAGCAATTCCCTGGAGGGGGCACGTATGAAGTCATGGCAACAAGGCCACGCTCAGATTTGTATATAAACCTTCCTGCCCTTAAGAAGCTGGATGCAATGTTGATTAGCATGCTTGATGGATTTCAGGAGACTGAGTTTTGGTACGTTGATCGGGGGATAGTTGTGGGTGATGGTGGTGACTGTGATGCTTATCCATCATCTGTTTCTGGAGGGAGGCCCTCAATTAGGCAGGAAGAGAAGTGGTGGTTGCCTTGTCCAAAAGTGCCACTAAATGGTTTGTCAGAGGATGCAAGGAAGAGGTTGCAGCAATGTAGGGATTGCACAAACCAAATACTGAAGGCAGCCATGGCAATTAATAGCAGTGTGCTTGCAGAGATGGAGATACCTACTGCTTACTTGGAGACCTTACCAAAGGTATGTGTTTGTGTTTCTCAAATAATGATATTTCTGCAGTCTTGCTGAAAACCACATTAGCTATCCTGCATTGGTTCTGTTCCTTGGGTAATAATACTTGAATGCTAATGGTTAGTACTTGAATTGATCTGTCAATTTGGGAATTGCTAATCTCCATATGGGAATCTTTATCAAGAAACCTGTTAATCAAGGAAGGTGCTCAAAGTAGGAATGAAAAGTTAAGAATGGCTTTGGAAGGGAATGGACATGCTTGATTAGATTTCTCCATGGAATGTCAAAATAACAGGTGTATTTTGTGTAGCATTGACTTGAAAATTGACTCTCTTTGACAGTTCTTATGAACTAACTTTTTTTGAGTGTAACTTTTCTTACATTTGATTAAATTTTAACAAATTTTCCTTGCCATTTGATGTCCAATTGCCATCAGAATGGAAAAGCTTGTCTAGGAGATATCATTTACCGTTACGTAACAGCCGACCAGTTCTCGCCAGAATGTCTGCTTGATTGCCTTGATCTGTCAACAGAACATCACACTCTGGAAATAGCGAACAGAATTGAGGCAGCAGTACATGTTTGGAAGCAGAAAGATCATAGGAAACGCATGACTCATGGCAAAGTTAGGCGCTCATCGTGGGGTGGAAAAGTCAAGGGCCTTGTGGCTGACAGTGAAAAGAATAATTTTCTGGCCCAAAGGGCTGAGACCCTCTTACATAGCTTGAGGCTTCGTTTTCCTGGTCTTCCACAGACAGCATTAGATATGAACAAAATTCAATATAATAAGGTAATTTGCACTAATTCTTTATTGAAAAAAAAAAAAGAAAACCTAAGAAGTATGTATTGTCTGTATTATCCGGTATCATCAGAGTATTATTCTAGCATGTCTCTTGTCAAACTATGTGCCCTAATAAATAGGATTCAGATCCTTCTCGAGTTAGTGAGGATAGGACCAACTTATGATGCTTCCTTATTTCTTTATTTCTTTACAAATGTGCATCTTCATCTCGGGACCACAGCCTTTTAGTGGTATAATGGGGCCTATAATGAGTGAATTTACAATAAATGTTATCTTGTTCTGGTAGTCTCTCTTAAAGCGAAAGTTGAATCTCATCTACTAGTTCGGTACCTTATGTAAGCAGTGGTTGCCACAATGTTGGTACATTTGTGGTTTGCGTTACTTCTTGTTTCCTTCTTGCTTTATGGAGACGACCTTAGTAGGCAACACTGAAAGTAGCCCCCATTTATTATTTTTTAATTGCAGGATGTTGGGCAATCAATTCTTGAAAGCTACTCGAGGGTGATGGAGAGCTTGGCCTTCAACATTATGGCAAGAATAGATGATGTCCTCTATGTTGATGATGCTATCAAGCGCTGCACTGCGGCGGAAACAATCTCCCTTTTCAGCCGGAGTGGTTTGAGTGGTCTTCCAATCCAGAAGCGAATGTCTCCGAGTCCTTTCTCAATTCAGCACAGCCCTTATGCCTCGCCTTTTGCAACCCCAACCTTCTGTTCGTCAACTCCACTAACTGGGAGCCCAGGAAGGGCAGCTTCATCTTTGAAGAGAAATGGTCTTAAGGAGGAACCTGACTGGAAGTTGGAAAAACCATATGGGGCTGAATTCGAGAGGGTGTGGTCATATACGGGGAGCCTGAGCGCAAGAAGAATTTCTGAAAATGCTCCTGAGAGAGATTGATATGAAAAGATTCATGACCCTTTGTGAGATAAAGTTTCTGTGTTCTATGAATAGTAGAAAAGAAGTTGCACAGTTTCGTTTGGTGGCTGACAGGTTAAGAGAAAATTGGTGATCTAATCTTTTGTATATTTCTTAGCAGTAGGAATATCTGTCTCAAAGTTTTGATTTTTTTAATTTTTTTTTTCAACATCAAATCGTGTTAGTCAAAGGGAGAAGATTATGCTTTAATCGAATTCCTATTAATGCTGTTCATTAAATGTAGTTTGAGTAGTGCACTTGACCAGCAGCTGTCATTCAAATGGCCCAATTTACTCACAGCAAAACGATAGGTGGCCGGAAAAAGGAGTTCATTTCTAACCAGAGAACAAAGAAAACAGCAGAAAGAGTTTGCTGATGGCTTATGACAACGAACTGAAAGCAAATTGAAAACTTAGCATTGAAAAACCAAAAACTTAGATCAAGTGTTAGCAACCACAAAATTTGAAGATGAACTTTGAGCTGGGAGAGGGAGGCTTGCTGCCGGATTCTTGTCCTTCGGAAGTTATTGTTTCAGGAGATTTACCTCCAACTTCCCTCGAGGAAGATACTGAAGAAGTATAGTTGTTTATAACTGCTCTTGGAGAAACCACCGTAAGGATAAGCCCCGCCTTCAACTTTTGGTAATGCAGAAGTTACCCACCCAGGAGGTGGCCAGAACAAGTTACGGTAGGCAGGGCAATTCTCTGAAGGACTAGCACTACCATTTTCTAATCAAAAACTGTCATACCCCTATCAGTCGAATAGAATATAAGGTTACCTTTACCCCAAGAAAATTCAGAAGCTGATACAGAAATCGCTTGACGCATACCCAGAAACAAGATTTGATCCCCCAAACTTTCCATCTCATCCCACCTCTGCTCTTCTTCATCCAGCCTGAAAATTCTAACACTAATCGCCTTGTCGCCTACAGGGCTACCAGGATACACAGCAACAGCTAACAAATTAACACCAGACTGAACCAAGAACTTTCCGCTAGTAGGAGAGCCAACACGTCCTAGGAAACTAACGCTTAAAGATTGGTCAATGACAATAATTCTTCCGTCTAGCTCAATAGCATAGAACTTGCCATTGAAGGAAATCATATCCTCAACACTTTGACCCCATTTGAAGTAGAGTCCATTCCTTTTCTCCCGATCTCAAAACAGGCAGGACTTGAAATTTGGCGAGCATCATAAAATCATCACTGTTGGTACTAGACCGCATGATAGCAACTTTTTGTATATTGACGGTATTGAGGCTCTGTGTCATGTTCGATATATACACTACATCGACCAACAAATTCATGACCCAATTCAGCGACCTGAAAGTTTGTTAAACCCAATACCTTAGGAAACTAACTGGAACTGGCGGAAGATGTTTCAACTTAGAATCCAAAAGAGGATGCAACAGTCGCATTCTGACACGGTCGGTACCATCTCTGATCTTGACCAACCAGCAACCAGGGGCTGCTTGATGATCGTGGCTCCCAGGCAATCTAACCAGGAAAAAGGTGTGTCTGGTAATACCGCCGAGGGAGCACTGATATCGAGTTTTGTTTTGTGGTGGGAGATGTTTGGGTAAACGGTAAACTTTTGGTGGAAAAGAGGAGCGCCATGAAGAGCAGACAGATCGGAATCGAAGAACATCAAAACGGGTTTCAAGGCGTTTGGCTATTAGGGTTAGAAGTTCTGGTGGGAGCTGAGGCCAACCTGCCATAACTTGATATTTTTGCAGGGAAGTAAGACGAGCAGCAAGCACTTTAAGGGCAAGGGCATTTCCAAAGCTTGCATGCTTTGTCTTTTCCTGTTGTCTTGCAGGTTTCAAGAAAGCGATGGTGCTAACGTGCTAGAACACGTGAGCCACACTCAGACAAGGATTGTCTTAGGTCGAGCCAGTTTACGACAAACCATCTGACAAAGAAACAAGATATGAAGGAAAAAATTGGAAACTCTTAACAGTTTTCAAGAAAATAACGTTGACTGCAGATTTGCTTTGTCTACCGTTATAGTATTTTCATATCTGTACAAATGCACGTGCATGTGGCAAGATAAGGAATTAAATTAAAGATGATGATGGGGAACTGATACAGGCTCAATGTTATCCTGGAAGAAAATGACATTCACTTCATACTGAATTAGTCGAGGGAAGAAGATTATGCTTTAATCCAACTGTTATGTGCATCAAGAGAGTGCACTTAACTACAAGCTGTCATTCAAATGACCCAAGTTACTCAGAGCAAAACAAAATGGAATTACAGCAGAAAGAGTTGCTGATGACTTGTGACAATTTAACTGAACAAGCACTATCGTCAATCTGTCATCAAGCCAATTGAAAATTTAGCATTAAAAATGAAAGACTTAGATCAGGAGTTAGAAACAACAAAATTTGAAGCTGGACTTTGAACTTGGAGAGGGACGCTTGCTGCGGGTTTCTTGTCCTGCAGAAGTTATTCTTTCAGGAGATTTACCTCCAACTTCCCCTGTAGAGATTGCTGAACTCGAATCAGGATCCTCGTAATCAAAATCTGTTGCAGCGGAAGTTGCTGAAGAAGTAGAGTTTCTTATAACTTCTCTTGGAGAAACCACTGAAGGATAAGCCTCGGCCTCGCTTTCAACATTTTGTAATGCAGAAGTTACCCACTCAGGAGGTGGCCAGAACAAGTTACAGTAGGCAGGGCAATTCTCTAAAGGACTAGCACTACCATCTTCTAAATCAAATACAAGCATAACCTTCTCTTGAGAATGTTCATATCGTGGAGAGATGCAGAGATCAGTCGAATAGAATATAAGGTTTCCTCTACCCCAAGAAAATTCAGAAGCTGATACAGAAATGGCTTGACGCATACCCAGAATCAAGATTTGATCCCCCAAACTTTCCATCTCATCCCACCTCTGCCCTTCTTCATCCATCCTGAAAATTCTAAAACCAATCTCCTCATCGCCTCCAGAGCTACCACAATTCACAGGGTTCCCAACATCAGAATCTGAATTGGAACTTCTGAGGAAAAACATTTCCACAGCCAACAAATTATTACAAGACTGAACCAAGAACTTCCTGCTAGTGGGAGAGCCAACATGTTCTAGGAAGCTAGCGCTTAAAGATTGGTCAACGACTATCGTTCTTCCTCCTCGCTCAATAGCATAGAACTTTCCATTAAAGGAAATAATATCCTGAACACCGCACACAATTTCAGATAGAGTCCATTCCTTGTCTCCCGGCCTCAGAAAAGCCAAGTACTGGACAAAGAAGCGAAATAAGGCGACAATCATAAAATCATCACTGTTGGTACTAGACCACGTGATGGCGACTTTTTCTCTGTAGTCTCGGGCTTGAGGCTCTAGGGGATGATCGATATATACATCATACCGACCAACAAATTCATGACCCAATTCAATGACCTGACAGTTCGTTAAATCCAATACCTTGGGAAAATTGATTGGAACTGGAAGAGGTTTCAACTCAGAATCTGAAAGAGGATGCAACAATCGCATTCTGACACGGTCGGTACCATCTCTGATTTTGACCAACCAACAACCCGGGGCTGTTTGATGATTTTGGCTCCCAGGCAATCTAACAAGGAAAAAGGTGTGTCTGGTAATATGGCTGAGTGAGTAATCACATCTACCTTTGGTTTTTGAAGGGAGATATTTGGGTAAGGGGAACACTTTTGGTGGAAAAGCGGAGCGCCATGAAGAGCAGACAGATCGGAATCGGAGAACATCAAAACGGGTTTCAAGGCGTTTAGCTATTAGAGTTAGAAGTTCTGGTGGGAGTTGAGACCAATTTGCCATAACTTGAAAATTTTTGCAGGGACGTAAGACGAGGAGCAAGCAGCAAGCACTTAAGGTCAAGGGCATTTCAAGGCTTCCATACTTTACCCTTTTTTGTCTTCCAGGTTCGAAGAAAGTGATGGTGCCATTGAAATTTGACAAAAGACAAGGATTTGTGCCACGTCAGGGAAGTTTACGACAAAACAACTAACAAAGAAACGAGGAATCGAGGAGAAAAAAAAGTTAAATCAGTGGTAAATATTGGGCTGAATTTGCCCAGCCTGATGGATCCTACGTACCAACAAGAGTTGCCAGCCTGTTACCTATAAGAACGCCTTTCTTTTGCTTTTGAAAGGGAAAGGAGGAAAGGAAAGGCATTGCTCTCTGCTTTTATTGTTCTGGGGTTTTGAAAATGAATTTGATCATACTGAAAAAGAAATTCAAAAAGAAAAAGAAAACCCTTAAAATGAATTTGAAAATGAATTTGATCATACTTCAAGGTGGTGTAAATTTTGGGCTGAATCAGCGCAACCTGATGGATCCTACAGACCAACCCGGATTCTTTTAAATGGGCAAGTGTTGCCAGCCAGTGACCAATAAGAACGTTTTTCTTTTGCTTTTATAAGGGAAAAGAGGCATAAGAAAGCTTTGCTCTCTGTTTTTTTGTTTTTGGCTTTTAAAATACTGAAAAAGTAACTTAACAAAGAGACAGAATACCCTTAAAAGGGGTTACTCTTAACAGCTTTCAAGAGAATAACTTTGACTGCAGAGTTGTTTTGTCTATTGTTAATACTATTTTCCATAATCAGCTGCTTACAATTGTCAAATTAAGATGAGT